AGGTATTTCTAGAGGTCAGGGTTCGTTTTTTCTTCGTCCGTCTCGTCTGCAGTTGAATAATTTTTACTTCGATTTATTTAGTTTTTTTTCCGATGCTACTTAATTTCACTTGTTTTTTTAATTCTTGGTAATTAGTGTCACTGGCGATGAAGTAGTAAAAACGCAATTAATCGCAGTGCAGCAACTCGGCATAAACCATCCCGACGCAATGGGCAAATTATTACTACCCTAGTATTTTGGGTTTGCCAGCTCCGCACCCTTGATAGACTTGGTAACTTCTTGTAGACTTCCGTTTTTATCACTGTTTTTGTAAGGCTAACTATGCACAAAGGCGGGATTACCTTTCGATCAATACATGTTATTGTTTTAAAGATGTGCTAGACGAGGCTGACACTTGTAAACAATACAACGTGAATAAGCATTGCGGGCAGGATTTCAAGGATCGCGGGCGAAACAAAAGCGACGCGGCTGTTTGTCTAAGCGACGCGGGCCCGCAGTGCTTGAAAGGCCTGGGGAGAACACTGTCTCTAGACCTCCTGTTCTACAAATTACACATCCAGACCTTATTCTACAAAGTCATTGAAAGTAGATTTAATAATTAAAAATGTTTTTACTTGCTTCAAGCACCATCCCTCAATGGGACAGTGCTTCAAGACTGAATCGGTAGGCTATGTAGGATTTCATGTCGATTCACTGCAATAAGGAGTATTGGTTTTCAATCAATGATTCACAGAGGAACTGTGAATGATTTAATCTAAGGTGAACAGAATACAATGTATCAATATTTTTCATACTACTTGCAATCATATTGTGGAACAAATTAAGGTGTCCTTAGGAAGGGTTAGGGGCACAGTCAGCTGGCGCACACCTGATAAAATAAAATAAACGCGATATTTACTATATGGGGCCGCCATCTTGAATGACGCATACAACTAAATGAGAGCCAATTTGTCAAATGCGTTTTTCTGATTCCTACAAATCAGGACAAAACTTCCAATCTTTCACAAAAATACTGTTCGTTGGGGTTATATTAAGCCAACTGATAACAAAATTCGGTCGAATTTGTTGTTCTTATGTGGAAAAATCCCTTGCATACGAACACCTAATTACATGAAGAACCTAGAACACTAAGCCGGGGTATTTGAAACCGAAATTGTCATCTAAGTGTAAGGCCGTCGCTGATTGGCTGCTGAGCTGGAATGCCAATTTTTAGTTTCAAATACCCCAGGAAAGTGTTCTAGGTTCTTCGCGTAATTAGGTGTTCGTATGCAAGAGATTTTTCCACACAAAAACGACTAATTCGGCCGAATTTATTTCTTAAAAGGAATATGCATTTAGTATGACCAATATGTCTAGTAGTGTTTTGTTGAGAACAATTGCAAGACTAATTAGTTCTGTCAAAATAAAAAGTTTCATCTTCTCACTAGTACTTATTTACCATGCGCAAACAACTGAGTTGTCAAAATAAGTCATATATGCATCAAATATGATTTTTATTAATCAGCGCTTTTATTAGAGATTCGCTTTAATACATTTGTCAACAGATTTTTTTTTGCCTTATTATGGCTCAGAATAAAAGAAAAGTAATTCTAAAATTGTTAATGATGTTGTCCTTTGTATTTTTCTTTAAAACTGATTTTTTCTGTAATTCTTTCTAACATACTGAGAAAAGCAGTGATGTGCACCTTTTTAGCTGATACATCTGGTGACCAGAAACATGATTACTTTTATTCTCTGACTAAGCCACACTTCCTTTCAACCACATTGATAATCTGATAATACGGCATGAATTTAATATAATGCTTATATAAATAGTATGTAGTATGCAACTCTATCATCCCCTACGTAAATTATTCAATCTATTGCCATGGCAATGGTAATATTTTATTAACAGTCGAGTCTTGTTATGTTCATGGTTCAGCACTTTATTGCATGTACATGTAATTGTAGTGCAGAAATAGCAAATATTAGAACCAATGTTTTGGGTGGGCTATGAAAGATTTGAAAGCTCTAGGGATATCACACTGTGTACATGTATATGCAGTTTCCTTTATTTTTCCTTGCATCTGTATCGCCACCATGGCAACACAACATGTGAGTAACAAATATCGATTGAGTGATGTAAAATATAGTGATGCAGCAATTATTGTGCACTTTATTCCCATGGCTTGAATGTATTTTTCCCGTGTGATTTATATTTACTCTTTTAATCAACTCCTTGAGTTTGACACGTGCAAGTGTGTCAGAGCCATGAATTATTAAGATTACATATGCCAGACTGTGTGTCTGTCACAAAGAATCCATGCAGAGTATGTAGAACTGATGTCTCAGTATGATTGCATAATTCAACAATTGAAAAGATTGTACTTGTGTTTCATCATATGCTGCAGATATTCATGATGAAATTACATTCTCGCTTTGATAGATTACCACTAGTAAGTGGTTGTCGCCTAGCAACCTTAAGGTAGTTGTGTCTGATGTGTTGTTCAGTAGAGTGAATGCAAGTCACTTTTTTTCTGTTTTATGTTATTCATGTGTTATACTTCTTGAAACGGGATGTATTGTGCTTTTTATTGACTACTGTAAAATACTTTATTTTCACTCGCTATTTTCGCTGAAGGAATGATTCAGTGAAATTAAAATCCAGCAAATATACCTTTTTTTCAACGAAAATTAATTCCAGCTAAAATATTATACAGTAAGTTATTATCTTCAATACAATAAATCCTATCTTTGAGCAGAGATTACTGCATGAGATTCAGTGATGATAGGACAGATTGCTGTTACCTTGATCAAAACCCAATTTGCTTGGTGATACCCAGCTATTTATTGTATTATGCATATTCCTTCACATGCCGAAGGTTTCAAAGAACATTTTGCTGACTTCACAACTTTGCTTTTAGTGCATTAATTTCTGGCAAATTCATTGACACAAACATTTAAGAACTGATCTTTGAGATGATGTTTTATAACATGTACTCTGGTGATATTGAATTTTGATTTTGATTTTTTCAAATAATTACATTTAGCAAATGCACCTCAATGCTTGAACCGAAAACACCTTTATTTAGTACTAACAAGCTCCATGTGACAATAAACCGCTGTAATTTTACAACAGACAAATTTTTGATAATCACAAGTCTGTGAAAATTTGTTGTATTAACAATTTCGCTAGGTATATATACAACAAAAGAGTGTCGACTCTTGTCTTCCTAAATGCCATAAAATCAGGGATTACATGCTCGCTAAAAAGTTACATTTGCAGTGCAATGTATGGCTTGAGATGTTTTGCTGATATTCAAATGTACTAGTATTCAAATTTAGAATTGAAAGATTGAAATAATTGACTATTGTCATTGCCAACCATAATTGAGTTGTCTATTGAGCAATTCATTCATACCATAGTGCATATGTATTTGTTCATGGATCCTTGACTAGTTGTCATAGAAACTGGATGAACCTTCGAGATGCAGAAAATGGAAAAATTTTATGGCAGAGCAATGACGATTTGTAAGTATCGTTTTATTTTATTAGCTAAATAAAACTATACAAATGTATGTGGTGAAGTTCATTTGGGCTTTGAGATGCGTTTATTTTTTACTACAGTCAATACTTTGTTAAAGACTACATCTATCTTGTGTGACCTTCCTCTCAGCAATATTTTTGCAGATTCCCCTTTGTTAGCTCTGTTCATCGAAGATGATAGAGTAGAGATGTTCATATACACAAAGATGATTGTCTGTCATCGTCTGTGGTCTGTCAACAATTACATTTTCGACTTCTTCTTGAAAACTACCAGCCTTTGATACTTGATATGTAGGTACCATGAGTAAAACCTCAGTCAGATTTGTTCATTTCATGATGATGTTTTCAATTTTCTATTTTTAGCAAATATGTTTTTACTTGGTAATTTTTGGTAAAAATGCTATTTTTGACTTTGTCTTGAAAATTATTGCTGTATGAGATTTGTAACCATATAACAATTCTAATTGCCATTGCAAAAGTTCAAACTTTAATTATGAATTTCATCATCTCAAAGGTGTTTTTGTTGTATCATCTTGTGTTTGAGACAAACCAAAAAATATAAATTGGAAATCAATAAAAAATCCAACCTCCATATAAAACACTTTTAATGAAATGTTAATGGTAATACAAAGGCAATTTCAGTTCAATTGGACATAGATATGAAAACAACTAAAAACAGATCAATAAAAAAAATGACAGCATGCTTTAACAGATGCTTCTGTGACAAATGTAGTCAACCATCTCAATACTGTTAAAATTGAATATTTCTTAAAATACTATGTACCGATAAACCTTTCTGCATGATGAAGCACAAGTTATAGATGTAGGAATTAATGATTTATGAAATATGTGATTAGAATATTCAACAACTAATAATCTGGTTACAATGTCTGTGTCAACTTTTACTTTTTCGACTTCTTTTTGAAAATTACAAGCCTGAATGCTTTGATACTTGGTGTATACCCGTATGTACCTTGTCCAATTGCTTTGATGTTAAAGAAGAAGGTACCTGAGATAGACCTCTCTCAGATTTGTTCATTTCATGATGATACAAGTATCTTCAATTTTTTAATTTTGATGAATAATTTTGTTACCGTATTTATCTGGGTATAAGCCCAGGGTCCTGAACATGGAAAATTGCCAAAAAGAAGGGGTGGGCGTTTGCCAGGAGATCCCCGGCAAAGAAAATGAAAATTTGCGAAAATTGACAACACCCAGATCGAACTGTGGCAGGGAATAGAACGGCAAATGAAAACATGCAACGGAAATAAATGAACAATATGCAACACTAGAAGTAAAACAAAAATAATGTATTGCTTATAATGTGACAAATAAACCAGAAATAATAAAAATCGACAGTGAGGAATCATTTGAATTAGGATTTTCCCGCCGACAAACACGCCCAATACGCGTGTTCTCAAAATGAATTAAAATGTCAGGGGTTAAACTGCGTAAAATGATTTCCGGTCCCGACAAATTACGAATCAACCGTCGTACAAGATCAATAATAATTTAAAAATTTACACAGTAAAAATTATAAAAATTCATAGCTGTTTGAAGAAAAACTTCTCTGATCTTTATTTGTACGTTCATTGCCATCTTCGTCAAACTCAAAACCCTCAAAGTCCAAGTCGGCGTCACTGTAGCCGTCCAACAAAATCCCTACAACTTCTTCCTGAAGTTCGTCGATATCGTCCCACACAATTTGGACTTAGCACTTTTAATCCACGGATTTCGCAGTCTGTCACTTTTCATTCATCTCCAATCACAATAAAGAGACAAGAAAAATGAGGTCGCTCTGCTGCGATGGCACACGATGCTTTTGTTTACAGTCTGGCAATCATCTTTGACCTTTATCCATCTGCTTTACTGATTGGCTAAGAATGACATCACTACTAGTATTTCATCATAAAGGTCAAATCGTGACATTGCTTTCTTATCAGACTTGACGCTTATTAATCACGGTGAAAGTTATCATTCAGCAAGTTCCGGCGGTTGGAATGTCTCACTATATGCATATCGCGGTGGACTTGAAATAAGAAGTTTTTTTTTATCCAACGACAGAAGAATAGTTTTCGTGACAGAAATGCAATTAAAGCCGCAAGCGGCGTCACCGGGGCCCAAGCTGACAAGATTCTGTTTCATAATTAATGTGGTCACATGTTAGACAATCAGGTAGCTTGAATTATCAGTAACATGAGGTCAACATGAAGTTGGTACCATGTATTTAACTGGTTTGGTTATCGAAATATGGTTTTCAGGATATATAATGAGCCATGTTCTTAATAATGAGATTACATAATCATATATAGCCATTTCTAATGTCAGTTACATCTTTCATTCAATGTCTTCATAATGACACTTGTTACATGTCCTGCTCTGCGACAGTGTTTTAGATATGACTGCTTTGCATATTAATGAGTTCACATGACCATATATGGTCATCTGTTATTTTTAATCAAATCTCTTGTTCACTGTTGTCATAATAACACAGGATTCATCTTCCTAACTGCAACAGTGTTTAAGATATGACTGCTATGCATATTAATGAGTTCACATGACCATATATGGTTATCTGTTATTTTAATCAAATCTCTTGTTCACTGTTGTCATAATGACACAGGATTTATCTTCCTAACTGCGACAGTGTTTAAGATATAATGGTCATGCATATTACTGAGTTCACATGACCATATATGGTTATCTGTTATTTTAATCAAATCTCTTGTTCACTGTTGTCATAATGACACAGGATTCATCTTCCTAACTGCAAAAGTGTTTGAGATACAACGATTATGCATATTAATGAGCTCACATGACCATATATGGTCATCTGTTATTTTATTCAAATCTCTTGTTTAACATCATCATAATAACGCAGCTTTCATCTTCCTACCTGCAACAGTGCTTGAGATATAACAGTTATGCATATTAATGAATTCACATGACCATATATGGTAATCTGTTATTTTAATGAAATTGCTTGTTCACTGTTGTCATGATAACACAGGAATCATCTTCCTAACTGCAACAGTGCTTGAGATATAGCAGCTATGCATATTAATGAGGTTAGAAGCCCCCCACCCCATGGGCGCGTAGCCACATGACCTAGCCATATGCCATTCAGGGGAAAGAATGTATCTAAAGAGTAGAATACACATACAAAATTTTATTCCAATCGGACTAATACAAAACATGTAGTTGCATAATTTCAATTTTCACAAAATCCAAGATGGCGGCCAAACCACGTGACTTATCGAAAATATATTATTTTTTCCATATGGAGTTGAGGCCAGGCATGGTAAATGTAAAAACATCTAGTAGATTCGTTGAATCACCTCTGAGAAACAAATGCCCAAACTTTTGGTCAATTTTCCTCAAAATCCAAGATGGCGGCCAAACCATGTGATTGATCTGAAATCTTTTTCAGGTTTCTGAAAGGGTTAGATAGGGACATGCCATGACGCAATATTT